CTTTCAGAAGCTTTCTCACACCATGCCACCTATTTAGTAGTATTTTTTTGAGGTACAACTGATTTTGGGGAATCATTTCGTTGGGGGTGAAAATGAATTTTTTAGCATATTTTTTTATCTGCCAGCCTTTCAGAAGCTTTCTCACACCATGCGATCCAGCCTATAAATTGTCTCTATAATGGAGTATTTTTTTGAGGTACAACTGATTTTGAGGAATCATTTCCTTGGGGGTGAAAATGAATTTATGTAACATATTTTTTATCTGCCAGCCTTTCAGAAGCTTTCTCACACCATGCGATCCAGCCTATAAATTGTCTCTATAATGGAGTATTTTTTTGAGGTACAACTGATTTTGAGGAATCATTTCCTTGGGGGTGAAAATGAATTTATGTAACATATTTTTTATCTGCCAGCCTTTCAGAAGCTTTCTCACACCATGCCACCTAGCCTATAAATTGTCTCTATAATAGAGTATTTTTTTGAGGTACAACTGATTTTGGGGAATCATTTCCTTGGGGGTGAAAATGAATTTTTTAGCATATTTTTTTATCTGTCAGCCTTTCAGAAGCTTTCTCACACCATGCCACCTATTTAGTAGTATTTTTTTGAGGTACAACTGATTTTGGGGAATCATTTCGTTGGGGGTGAAAATGAATTTTTTAGCATATTTTTTTATCTGCCAGCCTTTCAGAAGCTTTCTCACACCATGCGATCCAGCCTATAAATTGCCTCTATAATGGAGTATTTTTGTGAGGTACAACTGATTTTGAGGAATCATTTCCTTGGGGGTGAAAATGAATTTATGTAACATATTTTTTATCTGCCAGCCTTTCAGAAGCTTTCTCACACCATGCGATCCAGCCTATAAATTGTCTCTATAATGGAGTATTTTTTTGAGGTACAACTGATTTTGAGGAATCATTTCCTTGGGGGTGAAAATGAATTTATGTAACATATTTTTTATCTGCCAGCCTTTCAGAAGCTTTCTCACACCATGCCACCTAGCCTATAAATTGTCTCTATAATAGAGTATTTTTTTGAGGTACAACTGATTTTGGGGAATCATTTCCTTGGGGGTGAAAATGCATTTTTTAGCATATTTTTTTATCTGCCAGCCTTTCAGAAGCTTTCTCACACCATGCGACCCAGCCTATAAATTGTCTCTATAATAGAGTATTTTTTTTGAGATACAACTGATTTTGGGGAATCATTTCCTTGGGGGTGAAAATGAATTTTTTAGCATATTTTTTTATCTGCCAGCCTTTCCGAAGCTTTCTCATATCATGCCACCTAGCCTATAAATTGTCTCTATAATGGAGTATTTTTTTGAGGTACAACTGATTTTGAGGAATCATTTCCTTGGGGGTGAAAATGAATTTATGTAACATATTTTTTATCTGCCAGCCTTTCAGAAGCTTTCTCACACCATGCGATCCAGCCTATAAATTGTCTCTATAATGGAGTATTTTTTTGAGGTACAACTGATTTTGAGGAATCATTTCCTTGGGGGTGAAAATGAATTTATGTAACATATTTTTTATCTGCCAGCCTTTCAGAAGCTTTCTCACACCATGCCACCTAGCCTATAAATTGTCTCTATAATAGAGTATTTTTTTGAGGTACAACTGATTTTGGGGAATCATTTCCTTGGGGGTGAAAATGAATTTTTTAGCATATTTTTTTATCTGCCAGCCTTTCAGAAGCTTTCTCACACCATGCGACCCAGCCTATAAATTGTCTCTATAATAGAGTATTTTTTTTGAGATACAACTGATTTTGGGGAATCATTTCCTTGGGGGTGAAAATGAATTTTTTAGCATATTTTTTTATCTGCCAGCCTTTCCGAAGCTTTCTCATATCATGCCACCTAGCCTATAAATTGTCTCTATAATGGAGTATGTTTTTGAAGTACAAGTGATTTTGGGGAATCATTTCCTTGGGGGTGAAAATGAATTTTTTTAGCACATTTTTTATCTGCCAACCTTTCATAAGCTTTCTCACACCATGCCACCTAGCCTATAAATAGTCTCTATAATAGAGTATTTTTTTTGAGGTACAACTGATTTTGGGGAATCATTTCCTTGGGGGTGAAAATGAATTTTTTAGCATATTTTTTTATATCCCAGCCTTTCAGAAGCTCTCTCACACCATGCCACCTAGCCTATAAATAGTCTCTATAATAGAGTATTTTTTTGAGGTATAACTGATTTTGGGGAATCATTTCCTTGGGGAAAAAATGATTTTTTTTAGCATATTTTTTATCTGTTAGCCTTTCAGAAGCTTTCTCGCACCATGCCACCTAGGCTATAAATAGTCTATATAATAGAGTATTTTTTTGAGGTACAACTGATTTTGGGGAATCATTTCCTTGGGGGTGAAAATGAATTTTTTAGCATATTTTTTTATCTGCCAGCCTTTCAGAAGCTTTCTCACATCATGCCACCTAGCCTATAAATTGTCTCTATAATGGAGTATTCTTTTGAGGTACAAGTGATTTTGGGGAATCATTTCCTTGGGGGTGAAAATGAATTTTTTTAGCATATTTTTTATCTGCCAGCCTTTCAGAAGCTTTCTCACACCATGCCACCTAGCCCATGAATTGTCTCTGTAATTGAGTATTTTTTGAGATATAAATCATTTTGGGGAATCATTTTTTTGGGGGTGAAAATGAAGTTTTATTTTTTCATCTAGCACCCCTTTAGAGATTTTCTCAGTATACGCTATTTAGCTCATTAATTACTTTCAATACAGTAATCGGTAATTATATATGCTTATTCTCGTGCATATATATTTATTGTTGCGAGCTGTTATCACAATCACAGTCTGGTCGAGGATGTCGACGCCACTGGTCATTCGGGTATCTTCGGCAAATTGTCCGCTAAATTTTGTCTGCCAACTTCACACCGGTGATTGAAATCGTTTCCTAAGTTAATAATCACTGGTTCAACCATTCTTTCCATACATTAGTCAGTTGTACACATTTTTTCTTCCTCCTTCTCAACATGTTCCATTGCTTTTTCCAATTTTCCGGAGTTACATTTTGTACCGCGTTGTGAAAAAACTGCTTTGCATCAGCGATCTTGAAAGTTGTGTTTTTTCTTGAAACTCCGTTTTTAATTTGCGCCCAAATTAACTCGATTGGGTTAAACTCGCAATGTTAAGAAGGCAGGCGTAAAATATTCCGATTGGTAGATTTAGCCATTTCGTCGATGACATACTTGTCAGCAGTTTTATTGCCCTTGACCAGATTTAAAAGTTCTGCTTTGACCATATCGTTGTCAAAGGGAACATTATGCCTTCGTAGCCATTCCTGTATTTTCCCTTTTCTGTTCCCACTGTTTGGTGCTTTATCAATACGCCTACTATGGTATGAAGCATTGTCCATAACAATGACAGCGTTCTCTTCTAGACGGCTTATAATATTTTCAAACCATTCTTCAAATAAATTGGCATTCATATCGGCGTGGTAGTCTCCTGCTTGTTTGATTCGAATACCAGTAGTCCGTCTTCCATGAAGCCATTATCAGATCCGATGTGTAAGATAATTAGCCGTTTTCCTTTATCTGAAGGATTTTTTAATCCCGTGGAGAGAACTTCCAGGAAGGCTTGCTGAGGATGCTCAACTGATGAATCCACCCATACTTTGCTAACAGTGTTGCCCTGCATTGAGCCAAGTCTCGTCTAGGTAGTATATCTTCTTGCCTTCTTCTCTATACTTCCAGATTTCGCGTAAGTATCTAGGTCTCCAACATATTATCTCGTCCTTTTCTTTCAAGATGCTAGTTCGCTTCCTTCCTACAAAACTAAAAATTACATTAACTCTTTAAATTCGTTAATTCAATGAACCATATTATACGAATAACAAATTTCAGGTGATTCATCTTAACCAAATTGCAAGTTTAGTTTAGTCATAAAGTATAGATAAAGAATGATAAAAAACATAAAAACTCTAAACTATTTTTGTGTGTGAACATTTTACGGATTTTTTTAGTTTTGTATTTTACTTTCAATGAGAAATAAAAACGAAATAAGTTACCGGAAATTAAGTTCCTTCATCAATGTAGCCAACGTCGATCTTTTGAAGTCTGGCAAGTCGTCGTCGTTTATTGATAACAAAATTTTGTCCAATGTGGGTAGTTCGTTTCGGAAGAAAAATTCGTAGATTTTTCTTCGGATTAATGCCTTAGTTTCTTGTAAAACGTTGTCCAAAACTACTCTGGCTCTATGGTAACCTTTGGGAGGAGAAAGACTGTCGCTTCTTTTGTGCTCTGCCAAAATGTTATATGCACTGCTACTTGATGCTCCTGAAAACAAATTAATATATTTTGCATATTTTATATATTTATATTCATTTTTTAAATAATAAAAATAATTAAAGATAAGTTTTAAAAATCAAAATGTGTGCAATAGAAGTAGCTATCATATTAGTGTTTAAGATATTTAACAGAAAATAACTATTATTTAGAATAATACATCAAACTACAAAACATTTTAAAGTATACTTCAAAGTTAAATCCTCAAACCATGCTCTTGAAACAAACGCTACACGTTCTGTCTGAGTTTCATTTGGATAGCGCTCCCGCGAAGCTATATAATGTATTTATAATAGTTTCTTTTTCAGAAACCGACAAAGCTCTTTTTTCCATTTTCTTGGTAATTGGCACTCGTCTAATAAGGCACTCATGTCGAAACATCCTTTTAAACGTTGTCTCACAAAAATAAATGAAGCACACCAAAAAAAATCAACCGCACGTCACAGACCTTCGGAAAGAATTAAATTGCTATTGTGAACTTGGCGGCTTATCTACCGAAAACAGACCCATAGGAACCAAGCGCGTGCCGGTCAGATGATATATTACTCCGTAGCTTCGTTGGATAAATTATAATTCTCCAGATTGCCTCTAATTACGGCGACTGGCGCAAACTTCAAAGATATCTCGCGCAGCGTCTTCTTTCCTTTGGTATAACTTTCATCCACATCCAACTGATTTTTTTTTCAGACACAAAAAGACCACATTCAATGTTCAATATGTCGCAATAAACAAAAATACCAAGACATATCATATATCAAAGCTGGTCACACAGTGATGGACGGTGATTGTCTGAATATTAAAGGCAACTACTCCACCAAAATTGAGGCAGTGATAAAATTACTGATGGAGCTGAAAGAGGAAAATCCAGTTCCCAAGGTACTGTTGTTTTCTTCATGGCACTCTGTACTGAAGAATATTAAAGAGGCGCTGGATAAGAACGAAATCACCTCAGAGCTGATTAGCGCCAGCAGCCACTTCGAAATGAAAATTGAGAATTTCAAGGTACGTACCTCAATCCGTCTCGATTTTCTGTGCCGTTGAAATCAAATATCACTTACACGTTCTACAGGGTTACAGAGAAGATCCTAAAGTCAACCGCTTTTGGGATAAATCACTATAGAATTTTTATAAAATCATTAATTTCTATACACTAATTCATCCATTTGTTCCTAGTTGAGTTTGAGGATTTGGTGATTTTGAATATTCTGAGTAGAAGTTGTATCAGTTGATAATAATAACAATCCGTAATCAGTTTTATAACAACAAGCAGGTCGAAAAGGTAGTAGAATAAATAGGGAATTATTAGTACATTATAATTTAGAACACATACACTCACGCACACGCCCAACTAACAATTATCACTCCTATTAGAGTTGCAAGAATGATTATACAGTATTCCTTAAACAGCATTGTATGTTGTAAGAACATTGGCAAAACCCTCTTAGAACTGCTATACAAGCGGAATGGGCACACCTAATAGGACACTTCAGTCATTTAAGAGGTTGTATAAGGGATGCAGGTAACAGTTATACAACAAAAGTGTAAGCCTCTTGCAGCCGGTATAGGACATTTGCGTCAGTGCAAGATTCAGTTTTTGTCAACTATACAACTATTCGGTTACGTGATTCTACTTTATTGCAACCAAACTATTTCTTATGTATTGTATAGATGAAGAAGAATATATAACTAACACATTACAGTCATCTTGTTTACTTACATATCGGCCATTGTGAATTTCATACACAGGTATATGATAAACTTCTACACTGTGATATAGGGCTATTGAATTACTTGCGCAGCAAATTTTATTGTGATTATCGTGCAAATTAGTTACGCAATTTCTACGGGCTTCGTATTTGATTCATATTTTGATAATGATCAAAAGTATGTCTAGATTTTTAAGATGGAAAACTGAACTTATCTGCGTTAAATCTTCCACAGATCCTATATTTATACACAATTACACTAATTTTTATCACTTTATATCTGTAATTTCGAACTGAAACATAATTATTTAATATTAAATAGAGGAATAAATGTTTGCCCAATATGGCGGGTGGTTGTGTATAATCATGGCATCGTCCATGTTGTCTTTAGGTTATTAGAATATTTTGGTGCTGGATGCAGGTGTTATACAACAATTTGACAAATGTCTGAAACGAAATACCGACAAAATAGAATGATTTACCCAGAATTTGTACCAGATCTATATTTTCTGTTTGAGAAGTTGATAAAACATTTTGAACCAATATGCATGCGTTGTTTGTCTTAAAACATTGACTATGGCATTTTAACAAAAATATGACAGCAGAAAGTTAGGTTATGGTGAAGTTGTATACCAACATATTTAGCATATGTACACCCTTTAACAGTTGTATAAGTGCTTCCGTTGGGAGAAATTTGTTGGCTAAAGTAGTAAATTGCACAGCAAAACAACAAGGCTCGGGTTTGTTTTATAAAAGTTACCATGGATGCCACAACACAACCATTTTGACTAACGTGCAAATATGCCGTATAAACGTTTATGCAACAGTTAAAACTTTGCCCTATAAGGTGTTGTATAACTATGCTATAAGAATATTTTAAACACCTCACTTCAGAGCAAATATGTTGCAGAAAGCAAATTTGCATTCCACACAACATTAAGCCAGCATTTTGGTGTTCAGGCAACAACAATAGAGAGCTTTTATGGCTGAACGGTTCTTTTACCAACAGCTTATAACACACACACACACACACACACACACGATAACCAGTGCAACCTGATTAGTTATTAACAGTTCAAAACGTCTTATGTTTCTATTTGATGAAGAGATTTCAAAAACAGAATGTCGCGAATAATGTACACAGATTCAAAAAAAAGTAAAACCAAGACAAGATCGCAGTCAAATTCAATACCGTTAAAGAGATAAGCTGCTGTAGGATATGCAAAAAGTTGTCAAATATCGGTATTTTACGATATACTAAAGTAATAGACCAGACTATAACAAAAATAAATCCAATTGATTGCAAATTATAATCTTGCATATAAAAGTCAATGTCTTCTGAAAGGTATTATTATGTGAAAAGCTACTACCAGAAACTGACACCTAAATGAACCAAAAACTTATCAGGGTGAATTCTGTGTGATATCTCGTTATCAGATTAAGGGGATGGGAGCAATACTCTGGTGACAGGAATGTCCGCTAGATCTCAGGACAGGTTCGAAATGATAATAAATGCATTATACACGCGCAGTTGTACATGGCGTGTTCAGATGGACCCTGGGATGTTGCCAGTGTTATCCAGTACGTACCGTGATCGCAGAGCGCAGACGAGGGTAATCCCAATGCATTGTTTCTTGGCATACCGGCGATCGGCCGGCGACGATGCATCGGAATCATCCCTCGGAGAAGGGAGAGCCGAGTCGCAACCAGTGTATGATGGTCATGCCAACGATTTGCTTCACTGTCCAAACACGAAAACCAACGACGAGACGCGGCAGCTCCAGTAGCGCTGCAGAAAGTTCAGTATCGATAAAAGCGTTTTAGGAAAATTATGTACCTGCTATCAACAGTTCAATTTATTCATCTATAAAAAATTACATTGTATCTATAGTTACATTACATTCAGAATTCCAAACAGTTATGTTGAAAACTAAGAAGAGAATCACTTTTGATTGCGTGGTCGTTATGAGTCAGTCATGATATACCAAAAATATGTTGACTAATGAGCCTAAAACAAATTGTCACAAGAATAAATCCACTAATCAAAACTTAAGAATTATAAACAAGTCAATGATTAGGTGAAACAATGATACATAATTTCAGTGGCATATCTAGAACTTGTGTTGCGCTGGGGCCTATTGGTATTCAATATATGTTACACAACAGTTTTGATTGATGGTGAAAACAATTTGAATTTTATTACCCTTATCCCTTTTGTATATTTGTATCTTTGGTGGGTTTTGTGAACGGATAATGTGACTATTTCGTTCGTTGAATACCAGAGCGTAGCTATATTCCTCGATTTTTTTTGTTAAATGCTCTATAGGAAACATGATGTGTACATTTTTGAATTCGCTAACATTGTCTGCAGGAGAGGCGTCTCTTAGAACTGACAAAGTCGGAGCGCGAGCATCCTGACGAATTCAAGGAGATAATGCGCTGGCAGTGGCGTGCAACGTGTTCCGTTCACTAATGTTTGTTTTCATATATGTTATGATCCATCATACAAAATGTGTACAGTGATTTCAAGGAACAACCCTTCTACTTTATTTTGTTAAAGGGCCAAGTTAGCAAGATAAAATGCAAGGTAGTTAAATTGATGCACGGACAATATATTTCTATATAAAAGAATCAAAAAATTTTAGGAGAGCGGCAGGACCATTGCAAACTCACTATTGTTGAAATACGTGTACTGCCTAACATACTTCACAAGTTGCACTACAACTGAAGTTTTACATGCCTTTTCTGGATCGAAACTAATTGTCGCTAGTTGAGCCATTGATTTCGAAATAAGACGTAAAATATAGGCAAGATAGTAATAGGGCGATATATGTCAAGTTCTCACACGTCGTTTTATGTTCAGCCGCTACTAATAGAAACAAACCACTTATGTCTCTAACGTATACGGACATGACGCTCAACAGTAACGAACAAAAGATGCGGAAGCGAATACATGACTGTAATTTGACACTTTATCAACTGTTGTCACTGTGGTGAAGATGCGGAAGCGAATACATGACTGTAATTTGACACTTTATCAACTGTTGTCACTGTGGTGGAAGGCCAAAGTATTATTCACCAGAAAAAAAGACATACAAGGGTATTATTGAGATAAGCACCAAATCTTGATTAACTCTTTGTTGCTTTAATTACATTCCTTTATGAGTAGGAGAGAAATTTCAATGTTAGTTTGGCGTTTCTGAACCTGATATGTTTACTTATGAAGGTATCAAAGTCTGGTGTGAACTTCGTGTTCGGCTAAGCCAAAATGATTTAATGTGTGCGCTCCCGTACACGCATTCCTCTTGGTATTCTGTCATCGATTATATCCGGCAAAATACAATCGATGTAAAAAGAGGTAAGCTTAGGCACCATCAACTCACGCCAAACCTGTTCGTCCTTATATATCATTTCTATGCTGAAATCACGATCGCAGTAAAGGATAACGTTGCAAAAACTGCGGCCAGTAATATCCATCTGCCCCTGTATTTGAAAATAATAATTATGATTTCTTTCCAAGTAAACCTGATTATTTTCGGCAGAGTAGCATTACAGAAGGCAAACATTTTATTTCTATAAGGCCTTCTGTGCCCACGAGACCATCTGGAGAAGCTGCCAAAAAAAGTATATTTTTGACATATAAAAAATCCGCACTGTTCAACGGATAATCCTATCTGTTCTTCATACCTCCTCCTCGCAGTAGACTCATGTACCCTGCCATATAGGATAGAGATACTCTAGCCTCATTCCATAGGGAGCAGCGTGGCCGCAGTAGTAGACTCTTCGGTCTCCTGATCAGTCGCCGTGCGCTGTGCGGGTTCGAATCCCGTCCCAGGAGAAATTTTTCTCTTGGCTATGGATGTTGGGATTGTTTCTGGGTGGTAGACGGTCTCTAACTGTCGAACGCGGAGGTACCACCCGGCGGATCTCGTAGGCGGAGCCAGAATTTGTGCATGTTGCATGCACACGTGTTCCCTCGCCAGAGTCTGTTTTGCGTACCCCTTTCCTCTGTATACCCCTATAGCCCCACGGTACCCAATGGGTGTTTAGGCGTTAGGCCTTCGTGGTAGTTGGAGTATAAAAAAATTCTCCTCCACAAAGCGTTGGTGTATTGGCCTCTCGTAGAGGACGTATTTCACCTATATGAACTTACTGAGTCCTGGTGAGAATACAAAACTAAGTTTTAAACCTTAGATCTAGTGTCCTAATGGCCCATGTGTTGAATTTTAATGCATGCAATTTTTTGTACAGAAATTGTATTTCTCGATTCGTTATATCATTGTCAGCAGCTATGAGTTTTCAATTCCTGAATGCTGGACTGTTAGCACAGTTCTAAAACGCAAGCTGTATATTGATAGTAAAATGTGGTTGAAGAACCGATCGATCGAGCGCGATCAGAAACGCGGAGTGCACGCATTTTCGAAAAATGGATGTGGTTTTACAGCAATATTGTTTATTTTATATATTGAGCGAGTATACCCCCACCAAGAGGAAGTTGGAGAGCAACATGAAAAAATCAAAATCAATCAAAAATAATGACAATCAATATAGTGGTGCATGGCTTACAGCCCCCCAAAAATGCCCTTCCTCAATTATAGTATTAAACACATCGAAAAGCAATTTAGGTTCAGGGCTTTTTTGCATGTATCTCGAAGAATTATGCTACTCTAGCAGCCCAGAAAGCAGCTTTGCGGGTGTGCTTCGAAACATAGTTTTTCAACCCGTAAGGCACTTTACATATACAAAAAATCATAATTTTCCAAAATCGACTTGGGTCCAGGACTTTTTCCGATAAACCGTTGCTATTTATTACTATATGCTGATGACCCATCAAGCGGCTTACCCCAGTGAAGTACGGAAGGCAAGTAGTACATATTTTCACGATACAACATATGATATCATTCACTGTATACTGGGCACCTACTATATTATGTATTGTCAATAAAATAAAGGTAAAATTGCAGGTGCTCTAAAAATTTAAATACCACACACAATTGCAACGAGTTGAGGCACGATCAAGTGATCTCGAACAATTTTTACCTGCTGAGATTACCTAATAAGGGTTGATGAGATATTCCATTCATGGTTGAATTATGGTAATGTTTGCGGACGTATCATACATACCTAAGCTGTTATGGTAGGTACCTGCGTCGATTGCCTTTTTTCCGAGGAATTCCAATGGTGTTTGATCGAATTCTGATCAAAGTGCGGGTATGGGACTTCCGGACTTTATTAGTGAAAACTACTTAGTGGGTCATTCGAATATGATAAATAACCACGAAAAAATCCTGGACCTAACTCGATTTGGGAAAATTATGATTTATTTTTGATATACAGCGTGTAAAGTGCACTAGCAGCTGAAAAACCGCATCGGAAACGTTTCTTTGTGAACTGCTAGAGAAAATAGTTGGAAAACCGGATAGATCGTGTGTGATCGAAAACGGTAAGGTAAAAAGGTAAAAATGCAGCAGGGTGGGGGGGGGGTAGGACGAAAAGCGGCACGGGAAAGCGAGACCATTTTTTGCTTGCTCTTCAATATATAATTGGGTATCACATAAGGTAGTAAACCAATCCTGGGGCCCTGACTCTGTTTTCAAGTAAACAGAGTAAGGGCCCCAGGATTTGCTTACTACCTTATGTGATGGCCGAAAATATATTGAAGAGCAATACCAAAAATGGCCCCGCTTTCGCCCATAAAAAAATTTCCAACTTTCGAAGGCGCATTATACCCATGACCATAGATCCTCTTATTCCATCCACCATCAGCGAAAACAGTAATATATGGAGTACCATCTGGCATAACATGACCCTTCTCAATTGCAACTGACTTCTCTTCTTTGCCAGTAGCTTTCATATCGTCCGCAAGAAATCCTTCCCATACCTTAATGAAAATGCAATTAATATTTGAATAATATTTGATGGGTTATGCAGAGAGGGTAGGTGTTCTGAAGGGTTTATGTTGTACTTCCATTGCATATACGATTTGAGCTAAACGACGTTTCGTTCGGAATAATATCTATAGTCAGGTGAAAATTATTTGTTCTTTAGCTGTAGATTTCATTTGAGTTATCGGGTAAACGATTTAATTAGCATTTTTCTAGTTAGGTTTAGGGATCGATAACCATGATTAGCCTTCACAACGACAAAATAAACAATCAAATGTTTTAATGGTCAAATTGCTAACTTGGAGAATTTGTACCTTTGCAGCTACTATGATGAATTTCCGAGAATATTAGCCAATTCGGAGACACTTTTTCTTATCACGAAAGCTCAAAGTCCGCCACGCAGGTTTTGGAATCACCCAGGAAACCTGGCAAACGTTCTTGACTTTTTTTATTTTCAAATTTAATTCCTAAATGATATGTTGTTCACGTTACGCCAAAATTAAAAAAAAAACTAAAAAACAATACGTGAAAAGTACAGAGAACATATCTTGAAAATTATTTAATGAGAATACTTATCTCCTTAAGTAAATAATATAAAAATGTTCACAGTTATAAGGACTAATCATGAAGTTGGGATGCGTGTAGCTATTAATTAGCTAAGGCCCGTATCGTCAGTCGTCCCTACAATTATTGTAGGGCTCGTTTATGGCCTTCTTGATTTCGATAATATTACGTCTTCTTCGTTAACGTACATGTATGTCCTCCTTTTGATTTCCGACATACCGACAGTTCTGGCTTGAGGTTGTTTTGACGTTCAAGACACATGACAGCAGAACCATAATTTATAATTTTCTTGAAAATAATATCGATCACTCAAAAATACCGCTACATTGAATAAATTCCACAACCTGTGGTATCTTCAAGAAATTGTTGAGTTAGGAAAATTAATGCACATGGATATATTATATTATAATATTATATTTGTGTGTATGAAAGTCCAGAAGCTTACAACCAAGCTATTCTCTTGATGGAGGTTGGTAAGTTACAAAACAAATCATTGCATATCCATATTATATACTTATCGCATTATTTTCAGGTGCAACTCATTCAAACAGACTTTACAAGAAGTTGGTTCCTCAGTAAAATGCTATGTTTACTTTGGAAGGATAAGGTGGTGAATGATCTTTCTAAGAAGGAATTTATGCATCCACGCATAATTGAAGGAATCTTACAGAAACAAAACGTGAATTTGATTTATGTGACCGATATGTGTTACACTGCAATTTGTTAATTAAAGCCTGGCATAAACCTGTATGATCATAGTCATAATGATGAATTAACACTTACGAACTTGAAGACAAACTATGCTAAGCAAGTATGTATAATGTGTAAAGGTTCTGAAATTGAGTCCATGGTAAAATTGACAATCATAATTTCAGGATATTAAAAAGAGCATGGGCACGTAGGAGCACCAATTATGAGACATTACAAGGTGTAAATGGGAAAATGGAGTTGCAGCATGAAGTTAAATTGTTCATTACTTTGTACCATCATGGCAGAAAATTCCACAACTAATTACAAGAAAACTGTGGGAATCAATTCCCTGCTTAAGGAATGTCAAACACTAAATAGGACTGATATTTGAGGTGCTCGCCTTGTTTTACAATATTAGCCTTGTGGGCATATATATGTATATATATATATATATATATATATATATATATATATATATATCTATATATACTGATATAAGCAGAAAAGGTTTTTTTTAAATGGGAAGCTGTAATGAAAATGTATCGTATCAAAACTTCAAACTGTCAATTTCAATTTTTTTAATGTTCTGTGTATATATTATGTGTATAAATTGTGGTTTTTAGTTTCTGTTGACAATGCAGACTACAAACGAAAAATATTCGTCAAAAACAAAAGCTTCAGCTGCTGAGCATGATAAACAATACAGCAATGTGGTTGGAAATAAGAAACATTATGCAGTCAGCCTCTGGGCAAAAACAAAGCCTTGAATCGAATTGCAGAGAACTTCAATTTTCAACGTTTTCTAAAGAACTTTGTATGGTTAATGGAGATAATGAAAAATGCTTATTTTTTGGAAATAATCTAACCTGTTTACCATCATTCAAAAATATATAATCAAGTTCAAACTGTCAATTTCAAATATTTGAATATTCTGTGTATATGAATTCAGTTTGGTTTGAAGTTCAACCCTGCTATGGATTAATAATAGACAAAAATATAACCATATAGTTAAAAACAATAAAACCAATCTGGTGAGCTATCAATAGAAAAAACTAGGCCTAGCTTTACATTGATAAGAAGTTTAATTTCCAGTAGCAGCACTGATGTAAAAAGCAGAATTTGGTATATGCGAAAAAAAAGGAACTGTGATTAAATAATCTGTTGCAATATACCTTTTCAGAGGAAAAACAAAACCTTTTCCTGTTTATTTTGGCAAATAAAAGTAAGATAATACTGAGAGACATAGTTGGCTGCTTACAAGCAGAGGATGTCTGATAGATTCCAATAAGGTCCCAGCATTTTACTTTCTTGACAGTGTTGTACAACATATTAAAGTGGTGCTTGACGATCCCTGTGATAGTACTTTTCTTACTTATAGAATTTAACTGTCAACCTTTGGATAAAGGGGCAGATTCTTTAAAGAGCAAAATCCATTTTCATATGAAATAAATAAGAGGCTGCTGGAACTCGAACAACTCAAAGAACGTTTCTTATTTATTAGATCGTGTTGTAAACTATATTATACGCCAAAGCTAGTAAGGAAACTTAAATAAATTTTTCCCAATTATTTTCTAATTTTAAAAGGGGATAATTCATGTAAACTGTGCCCAGGAAGAATAAAAACATTGTATAAAAAAAGAAACACTAAAAAAAGAATAATAACTTTTATTCAAACTGCTTTGCTACATATCAAGGGGTATAGTTGTGGAAAGTAATTTGGAATTTTGTTTTCAATGCTGCTGTATGTTTTTGCCAGGTCAAGCCATTATCAAGGGTGACCCTGAGGTTCATGACGACTACCGTCTGCCGAAACCTCGAGTGTGGACCACGACGTTTTCTGCTACAATACCTATATTTTCGAATGATTACTTTTAATCAAATCAGCCATCGTTCCGCCCACTCTAGTACTTCCTCCTTTGCATCTTGTAATCTGACGTGAACCAGATTACCAGTACTTGTCTGGCGCAGTGTCGTCAGCATAGAGGTAGACTTCACACCACAGTTGTTGAGTAAAAAGCGAGTGAGGGATTGGTTCTAGGACCAAACCTTGAGAAAACGTTAAATTTGATCTGAAACTTCCTTCGACGCAGAATGTTAGTAGTTGTTAGAAGCGAAAAAGAGAAACAATTTTGTATTTGTTTATAGAGACCCGCATGCCACACGTTGTCAAAGGTTTTTGAGACATCCAAAAGCATGATGCAGGTACTCAAGTTGAGGGTGAATCCTTTGGGTACATGTTCCACCAGCCTGACTGCCTGAAGCTCGGTACTTATTATAAAAATTATCCGATTAATCCACAACTGGCTTTTTATCAATAACCGCCCATCTCTATCAAATAGGGTAGGACGTGATATCTCTTTGAGGCTATGCTGGTTTCTTTGTTTCGCCCCGTGCCCCCTCCACATTCGCTCTTGAGTCAACCGATTTTAACATCAGTTCAAATTTGAAATTTGTAGTCGGCTTTTTATATCGTATGCTTATTGCAGTGGTAAATATAAGTGAAAATGGCAGAACGTGATTTATTTGAATCGGGTGAGCACTCCCAGAGGTCCTCAACCCCTCTACTTCATTTACCAAGGAGGTATATTCGTGATAGGTCGAATCCGCTGGAGCATTATAGGGACCAAGAATTTCAAAAACGCTTTCGATTCACAAAGGATTGCGTGATTCACGTTCTCTATCCTATGGTCTACTTGCATTGCTCAAAGATACACCCCATCCTGAGAAGCCGAGATTACAAGATACTGTTGCAGGACAGAATAATTCTAGTGTAAGGCACTTTGGCAACATTGTAAGTTGATCATCACAGTAATCAAATCCAAGCGAATAACCAAAATTTCTGTGTTATGTGCCGCGGTTATAATATGGTTCAAGATGACACACGGGTTGATGACGTCAGTTACACGAATCGCTTGAACGCGTTGGTTTTAACCGCGGTTTTGTTGCAAGTTGTTTATTTTAGAAAAGCGCGTATATAATCTCTGATTATTTTTATTATCACTTAATAATCGGTGCTTTTTCGTCTACAACTGTATATGGAAAGTTTAAATAAGAAACCTTTCATAATATTCATGGGAGAAATGTTTTTTAGATTTTTTTTTTAATGATGGAACCATGGCTTTGTAGCTATGATAACTTTCAATTCTCTAAATTTTTCCGCATGTCAAAGAAAACATTTATTGATTCAGCAGAAATGATGAAAAAAGAAATTAGCAAAACCGTATACAGGTGGATATCATCTAGTGAGTTTATATGGCCATATTTTAATATTCTTGTGGTATATGGCTACACAGGATACTTTGTTAAGCATAGGAACTACATTTAAAGTGTCCCCAACAACCGTAATGAGTATAACTAATAAGGTGTTCCACTTTATGGTAAAAATGAAGCTGAAGTACAATATCAATATCCAATACCCGGCAAAATTCTAACTTGTCACATTTCAAATAATAACCAGAAATATAAAACTACTCTTGAGTTGGGTAAATACCACAATTTTGCGGTGATAACTATGACATATAACAGCTGATTCGTGACGTCACGGATCTTACAACCAAACTGATAACTACACTCGCTTGAACGGATTGGTAAATACCAACCAAAAATGGTAAATACCATTTCCATTTGGTTATCCGCTTGAATTTGATTAGTGTTTGTTTATAGAGCCTATAAATGTGGAATAGAGTGAATGTAATTTTCTGAAAGTGCATCATCGTCATAGTTAACATCTATTGTGTGACTG